TACATAACATAGTTTAAATTCTAGATTCAAATTTCATTATTTTAATGGTGTATTTAGACATGCACTCTTTTAAGATTTTTTAAAAACAACTTAAATATTTAAAGTTATATGAAAATACTATAAGTTACAAAAATTGATAATTTAAAAAACATACGAATAAATCAATACTATTTAATATGTGTGGTGGTTGGGAGATAACCAGAGGGCAGTACGTAGAAAAAGAAGGGTCGCTGATTTTTATGAGATATTGTTTTCATCAGTTACCCTATGAGCTACCAAACACTTCTTCTTGGATCTTTCTTCCTTCCTTTATTACTAATCTTATTTGTTTTTTTCTCTATGGAACCCCTTGTTTTCATGGCAAACGACATCACCTTTTTTTTATTTCCATTTTCCTTTTTTTTTTTCTCTTTCAAATTTATTACTAGCTTATCCATTATGGTAACCTCACTAGTTTAGAAGTTAATTAATTAGATACATGCTAATTTACAATATTACGAATTTTATCAAATTTTGGTGTGTCCAGATACGTTTAGATACATGTATCTCGTGATATATGTGGTCAAAATTAGGTGTAATTTGTTCTAGATACACTGTATCCAAGTGGTTTTACATGTATTGGGATACATAGACAAATCTCGCTCGCGACTCTCATATTTTACTCACGTCTTTGGTATTTCAGATACATGTATATAGTGTTTATCTAGTGTGAATTACCTGTATTAGACGTGAAATCTGATATGAAATTACTAAATAGTGATATAAAATGTAATTATGTTAAATTATAGAGAGAATTAATAAATATGATATGATAGAAATATTTATGTAATTAGATATATTTTCTATTAACGGAGTCGTGCCTCAATGGGCCGAGATGTGAACTAGCAGATGGGCCCGTCTACCGACCCAGTGCGTTTTGCCTAGCCCCTCAATCCAGGACTCCCAAATCGGGTCGAATATACACCGGCCCATTTTACCAAAGTAGAGCAACCCGTCATCACTTGTTTATTTTGTGATTAAAGAAGACAAGATGAGTATAATCATCTTTTTTACAATGACATATTACATAAATATGACACTTAACTTGGCGTCATCTGACAACTATGACATTTATCTTTGAATGTCCACAGGTAGATACTTAAACTTGTATAAAATTAAACAAATAGACACATTCGTCCTACATGACACCCTACATGACAATTTTGTGTCCTACGTGGCGTCCTATGTGTATTATGCCATGTAGGATAAGTGTGTCTACTTGCTTAATTTTATACAAGTTTAAGTGTCTACTTGTGCACATCCAAAGTTAAAGGTCATAATTATCAGCTGACGTCAAGTTAAAGATCATGTGTATGTATTATGCCTTTTACAATTTCAACATTGTGTAATTATATGCTATTGCTTGTGCTCAGGTCATTCGCGAGTCTTTCATTAAAAAAAATTAAAGTTATTACTACTTGCTTAAAAGTTAGTAAAACTTTATTAAAACTCAAACCCAAGGTAACAGACAAAATCATGCCAAAAGTTTCTCTTTGACTCGACTCTAATTAGTCCTAAAAAATGTTTCCAGATTGACATAAATAATATCGTACTCAAAGTTTCACACCTAAGTTAATTAGGAAAGATATGTTATGTATTTTAAAAATTGTTGAATGAAATTTAACTAGTATTCTTTCTTAATATAAGCAACTATTTGCTTGATACAAAAATGTTAACAGGAAAGGAGATCTTCACGATCTTTGCTAGAGGAAAAAAAAAACAAAAACCGAAGGTTCTTTATATATATATACACATACTAGATACATACACTTACGTTAGTTAGATGTCCAATTTATGTGGCATTATTAGAGTGACTATTCAAAGTACCCTTGAATTTGACATAAATTATTAGTTTCGTTCTTGAATTACGGACAACCTTAAAAATACGTATTTTCTAATAAAGGCGTCTCCGTACTCAGGAGAACTCAAACCCAAAACAAATTCCACATTGGGGGTAAATGTTGTTCAACCTGTATTACTAAAATACTTACAATGATAACTTTGAAAAAATTGGTAAGAAGCAACAAAGTTTAAAGAGTATTTTCAAAATTAGAAATTTAAATTCAGTAAAGAAAATAGAATATGAAACATATTAGAAATAATATACAAAATATTTTTCTCAAAGAAAAAAATCGAATCTACTAAATGCAGAGTGTGTTTTTAAGAAAATTGTTCACTCAAGTACCCGATGTTAAATAAAATATATCCTCCAGGATAGAACGATCTTACTCACTTGTGTATCAGTACCTAAATTTACGGTGTTAGCGTACCAATCAACAACAATAAAATACACTTAAAATACTAGATTTAGTAGTAGAAGAAGTCAAGGAATTCGTTAAATACGTTGTTGAAAAATAAGAGGAAACCCTTCTATTCCCTGCATTTCAAATTAGTTGAATTGTTAAGGTGTTTCACATCCTTTAAGAAAAGAAGATTAAGACATAATTTAGGCATAGCTTTCCACTTCTACCCTTATTAATTAATGTCAAATTGATTAAATAACTAAACATTAATTATACGAAATCCATTTCATATTAATTTAATTTTTGAGGTGTTTCACACCCTTTAAAAAAAGTAGATCAAGACATAAATTGAACATAATTTTCCATTTTTACCCTTATTAATTATTGTCAAATTTATGATTAAAATAACTAAATATTAATTAATCACTAATTCCAATACTAACTAATGATGGAAAAAATTGGAAGAACACTCTAAAAGTAGTCTTGAAAATAGAACAATTAAGTTAATATGAAAAATGGAAAATGCCTCAAAAATTAAATTAATATGGAATGGAGGGAGTAATAACTAATTCCAATACTAACTAATGAAGGGTAAAATTGGAAAAATATTCTAAAAGTAGTCTTGGAGATTGAACAATTAAGTTGATTTGAAAAATGAAATTTTTCTCACAATTCAATTAATTTGAAATAGAGGGATTATTAGACAACAAATGGTAGTTTGAACAAGTGTTTATTGTGCTTAATCAGAAAAGGTCACAACCCTTAAAAAAGTTAAAAGTCATAACCCTTCGTAGAAATCACAACATTATAGAAAAGTCGCAACTTTTGATTAAAGTCATGTTCAAAAAAATCACAATTCTTCATAAAAGTTACTATAATTTTTCATAAAAGTCAGAACTCTTCGTTTTCATTCACATTTTTTTAAAATCCAATAGTAAACTCTTCCTAACAAAGACAATTTTATACTCAGAAGGACTTGAACCCGAGACAAGTCACAATAAAGCGCTCTCTGACAAAAACGAACTCAAACCAATGAGATATCTACAGAACGATAGGAAAATAGTAGTACAAGTTCAAATGATAGGTATAAACTTTGTCCTAAAACGTATAGTACAAGATAGTACAGATTACACAAACAAAAACCCACCAACTCCTATTCTTCTCCTTTTTCACCTTGATATTCTCATCATTCTATCACACCTTATCATCATCGAATCGAATTGAATCAAAAGGCCCATACTTGCCCAGCGAATCAACAAAATACCCATCTTCTCCAAGAACCCAAATCGGCTAGAACTCAAAATCGGAAAGCAAATATGATGCACATGACCTTTTATTGGGGTAAAAAAGTAACCCTTTTGTTCGATTTCTGGAGAACTGATTCATGGACTAGCTATGCAGTTACTTTACTTGCTTGTTTTATCTTCGCCCTATTTTATCAGTACATGGAAGATCGTCGTCAACGATTCAGGATTATCTCTGCCAATTTCAGGAGGAATTACCCTCCGCCGCCTAGCGCCGCTTTGAATGCTCCCCTTCTTTACACTTTCCCGACCGTCGGCGGTAAGTGGAACTCGGCGAGATTCGCTACGGCGATCGTTTTTGGGATCAATTCGGCAATTGGGTATATGCTTATGTTGGCTGTTATGTCATTCAACGGCGGCGTTTTTGTGGCTATTGTTCTGGGTTTGGCGATCGGATATTTGCTGTTCAGGATCGGCGATGAGGATGATGTCAGCGTTGATAATCCTTGTGCCTGTGCTTGATATGATATTAGTTAATGGGTTTGATTGTTGTATGTATGAATAGTGATTAAATGATGATGAAAATGTTTTCCTTTTTTACATAGCAGTATTGGATCTGTTGATCTTTCATATTTCCTTCTGTTCTGTTGTATTTCTTGATCTCAATATAATTTTACACCTTTTTCTGCTTAGCTATTTGTCCCCATCTGTTTCCCACGATTCTGTGTACATCAATTATAATCCTTTCTTCTTGTTCATTAAAACAACCCCTTTTCAGATCTGGCCTAAAATAATTTATCCACCTCATGAAACTGCAGCTTTTTCCAAATCCGGCGAAACTAATAAGAAACAGTCAAATCTCTTTGTAACAATGTAGTTTGTGATACTTTTGAAACAGTACAGAAAACATGGTTATTATCGTGAAATGTTGTTATCGAGATTTTAATTCTCTAGTTTAGGCCTTGGGGACATTTCTTCTTGAGGCCAAAGACCTCTCTTTTCTTAATTACTTTCTGTTTGCTGCAACATTGATTTCCTATTCTCAACTCATCATACTTCAAGTACAACAAAAGAAAATACTCCCTTCATTTCATACTAATTGAATTTTTGAGGTGTTTCACAGTTCACACCCTTTAAGAAAAGTAGATTAAGACATAAAATTGAATATAGTTTTCCATTTTTACCCTTATTAATTATTGTCAAATTTATTGAAGTCATCACATTGAAAATCCAAATGAAGGGTAAAATTGAAAGAAACACTCTAAAAGTAATTTTGAAAACTGAACAATTAAGTTAATTTGAAAAATGAAAAATGCTTCAAAAATTCAATTAGTATGGAATGGAGGGAGTAGTGGGCAATAAATTTCCCTTGGTGAAAACATTTACTGATATTTAGCGACTCTTCATTGCATACAGAGTTGTCAAAGCAAATATCCTTTAAATTCTTTATTTGTTATATTGAATATTCTAGTTATCAAATTCCAAGATCATTACATGTAGCAAGTAGACATAAATAACATTTCCTACTACAGCTAGCACCAGGAGTTTCAGTAACATCAACATCTTCAGGCTTCATTCCATCAGGCATCTTCCAATTGAAATAGTAAATAAGTTGAGCTAAAGGAAGCTCAACATTTGATAAACCAAATGAAATTCCAGGACACATTCTTCTTCCTCCGCCAAATGGTAAATACTCAAACCTATGTCCGATAAATTTTAAATTATTACTACTACTACTACCACAATTTATGAACCTCTCTAGTGTAAAACTCTCAGAATCCTCACAAAATTCAGCATCTCTATTAATTGCCCAAGCATTCACTATTACTTTAGTTTTAATAGGTATGTCATGTCATATCCATTAATTACACATTGCTCCCTGAATTCTCTTGGAAGTAACAAAGGAAGTGGTGGATGTAACCTCACAGTTTCTTTAATTACTAATTTTAGGTAGCTAACTTCTTTCAAATCAATCTCTGTTACTCTTCTTTTTCCCTTGAGGAATTCTTCTCAATTCTGTTTGTGCCTTTTCCATAACTTTGGTGTTTTTCATCATTTCAGTCATTGCCCATTCAAGAACGTCTGCTGAAGTTTCAGTTCCAGCTAGAAACATGTCCTGCATATATTCACATTTAAAATTACTACTAGAGTTAAGTAATGATGTGATCATATGGTGCAGTATTTGTTTTGAAAGTACTGTTAGTGCGGTTGTGCATAAGAAATTAAAAGAAATATATGTCACCAGTATGACTGCTTTGATAGCAAATTAACCAAATGTGACGTATGGTGAAGATTCCAAGCGTTAATTATTTGCATGCCTTTTTTTTCAGTGTTACTTTTGAATTTCTGTACTACTTTTTACGAAAATACAACTGTGGCTTCTTCACAAGACATATGAACTTTGTCACAAGAATAATATATGCTATGCTTTGTATTGATGGAAGAGTGTTTTTTTTTTGTGCGACTCAAGAAATAATATCTCAGATAGATAATTGAGGAAATGTTATAAATGGTCATGAATTATTGGAGTAGGTCTAAAACAGTGCACTCAGATTAGCTAGTTAGGTGTGTCAATTCCATGATCAAGGTTGCGAGTTATCCATTCATCCTTCTTATAGGCTTATTTTTTTTTATGTTTTATGAAGAACAATTTATGAAACTTAAGTTGCTTAGTCATCATATGATGCTCTACATAAAAAAATAAAAAAAATAAATTATTATAGTTAAAAAGTTACTTATTTCGAATACATACAAAAAAGAACTCATGGAAAAAATGTGTCGCGGACAATAATAGAGCTACAACATTTTCCCCTTTTTCTTGCCACTTTTCTCACCATATTGCTTCTCATTTTCACTGTGAAGTTATTATATATCCAAGAAAATACTAGCAAAAAAACCAACTCTAAACTTGCCTCCAGGTCCATGGAAATTGCCTTTCATAGGAAGCATTCACCATTTAATTACAAGCCAACCACCTCACCATACTCTTAAGAGACTTGGCCCAAAAACATGGCCCCTTAATGCACTTGCAGCTTGGTGAGATCCCAACGGTTGTTATTTCGAGTCCTCCTGTAGCCCAAGAGATACTAAAAACTCAAGATCTCGCGTTCACAAATCGTCCCGAGCTTTTAAGTATCAAGATTTCGACATACAACTATTCAAACATCGCGTTTGCACATTATGGAAATTACTGGAGACAAATGCGTAAATTATGCACGTTGGAACTATTGAGTGCAAAGAATGTTGTATCATTTGCCTCTATTAGGGAAGAAGAAGCATTAAATCTTGTTCAATATGTTGAATCAAAATCTGGATCAATTATTAAACTTACAGAAAAGATATATGCCCTCACAAATGCTGTAATTTGTAGAGCAGCTTTTGGGAAGAGGAGAAAAGAAGAATCAGTCTTTGATAGAGGAATTCTCACTAATGATAACAGGTTTGGACCCTGTTTTTTTCTTTCCCAATATCTCAATTTATGCAACACACTTTATTTTTTCGTCTGTCCAGAAAAAAAATGTCACGTTTCTATTCCAATTTATTTAACACACTTTTTTTTTTAGTCTGGCTGCCTTCCGTCGGCATACCAGTACAATTGTGTTTTTAGTATTGATTGCATTTTCTTTCCAATTATTTACTAATAGATTTGGACATAAGTGAGGTGTTTCCTTCACTCAAGTTTCTGCAAGTCATTACTGGCACTAAAGAGAAATTATTGAAGCTTCACAAAAAGTTTGACAATGTGCTTGACATGATAATAGAGGAGCACAAGCACAAGTATGATGAAGAAGAGTCATCAAGAAAAAATGATTTGGTTAATTTGCTATTAAAGCTTCAAGAAAGTGGCACTCTTGATTTCTCCTTCACTACAGACAATATCAAAGCAGTCATACTGGTGATGTATTTCTTTTAATTTCTCAATACATATTCACTTCAACTCATAGATTACACTCGAGTAGTAATTATAAATAATGCGTATATATGCAGGACATGTTTCTAGCAGGAACTGATACTTCAGCGACTGTTCTTGATTGGGCAATGGTTGAAATGATGAGAAACCCCAAAGTTATTGAAAAGGCACAAAGAGAATTGAGAAGAATCCTCAAAGGAAAAAACGTAGTAACAGAGAGTGATTTGAAAGAAGTTAGTGTTGTTCATTTTGTATTCCTAAGATACTTAGAACAAAACTTTGAAGAACTTGGTAAGAAATAACAAAGTTTAAAGTGTATTTTCAAACTAGAAAATTAAAACTAGTAGAGAAAATAGAATCAGAAACAGATTAGAAATAATATAAAAATATTTTTCTCAAAGAAAGAAAATCGAACCCACTGAAGCACAGTGTCCCCTTAAGAAAATTATTCTTCTCAAGTATCCGAGGTTAATGAAATATATCCTCCCAGGATAGAACGATCTTACTCACCGGTGTATCAATACCTAAAACCACGGTGTCAGCGAACCACTCAACGACAACAAAGTACACTTAGAATACTAGATTTAGTAGTAGTAGAAGACGTCCAGAAAAATTCGTTCAACTAAAATGAGAGGAAATCTCTCAATTTATAGAAAACAAAGGGTAGTGTGAAAATATTTTTATTGTACCTTACCGGAAATGTCACAAACCTTTGGAAAAGTCACAATCTTTCGGAAAGGTCACAACCTTTCATAAAAGTCACAACTTTGCATAAAAGTAGCAACTTTCATAAAAGTCATAACTCTTCATAAAAGTCGCAAGTCTTCATTTTCCATTCACACCTTTAAAACCCAACAATCCCCCGCATGAATGGGGAATGACTCCAAGACAAAGAAACAAACAAGTATGTGTACTTTACAAGCAAGAATTAATTGCATCTGGATAAGTAGGTTTCCCCTTGGACTTTTCGTAGTGAACATATGTCGGATATACTCGGTCAATCGGTAGATGCGATATCTTTGAACCATCGAGCTTTGGTGTATGCCTAGACAACCATATGTCACACAATTAACCCTTTACCGTTTATGGTTCTTACAATTGTGTTGGTTTCAGCCATGAACACCTCCTGGTTTCATGAGATTATAAAGAGATGGGCTTTTGACAATCATCCTCTTTCGAGCGGCTTACACTTCACACTCACATAAGTGATTTCTAAACGTGTTATCACGTAGATACACTATTTGGCCAAATCTGTCAAATTAGCAAATCATTAAAAACTTTAAGCTTTATTAACTCATTAACAAGCCTTAATGTTGTATCCTTGTTCCTGATCATTGTCTTCATCATGAGAATGGATTGAGTTGATTGACAATGTCGAACCGTCAGTCACAACTTTATTTTTCTTCTTGAATCTAGCTCTTGGGATCTTCAGCCTGCTAGATAGAGTTACCGCCATGATGACTTGTCCTAAGCCGTAAACCCATTCTCTTAGATGATCTTTCAACTTTCTCTCTAGTTAGGCCTTTTTGTAAGTGGATCCGACACATTATCCTTTGACTTTATATAGTCAATTGTGGTAATTTCACTATAGAGTAGTTGTTTTCTAATGATATTATGTCTATGTCTTATATGACGAGACTTTCCATTAAACATCATGCTCTATGCCCTACCTATTGCATCTTGACTATCAAAGTGTATGCATATTGATGCCAATGGTTTGGGCCAAAAAAGAATATCTATCAAGAAATTCTAGAGTCTTTCAACTTATTCACCGGCCTTATCTAGAGCACTTAGCTCAGAGATCATTGTAGAGCTAGCGATAAATGTCTTTTTGGAAGATTTCCAAGAGATTGCTCTTCTACCAAGAGTAAATACATATCCACTCGTGGATTTTACTTTCATTTGATCCCGGTGATCCAATTTGCATCACTATATCCTTTAAATACTGCTGGATATTTGATATAATGCACGACATAGTTTTGAGTATGTTTTAAATAACCCCAAAACTCTTTTCATTGTCATCCAATGAGTTCGATTGGGATCACTTGTGAACCGACTCAGTTTATTAATAGTACATACTATATCTGATCGCATACACTTCTTGATATACATCATACTTCCCAATACTCTAGCACAATTCAATTGAAAGTCACTTTCTCCTTCACCCATTTGAAATGCAAAGCTCAAATTTATTGGAGTCTTGACAATATTGAAATCCAAATATTTGAACTAGTCAAGTACCTTTTCTATGCAATGAGACCGTGAAATGCTAAATATTATGGAGTTCTATGAATTCTTATACCTAAGATTGCATCAGCAACTCTAAGATCTTTCATATCAAACTTGCTTTCTAGCATACATTTAGTAGCATTTATGTCATTAATGTCTCTACTGATGATCAACCTATCATCAATATACAAACAAACAATGACCTTGTGATTTTAATGTAAAACACATTTATCACTTCCATCATTCTTAAATCCATTTGCCAATATGGTTTGGTCAAATTTCTTATGTCATTGTTTGGGTGTTTGTTTTAGTCCATAAAGTGACTTAACAAGTTCGCACACTTTCTTTTCTTTATTAGGAACCACAAAACCCTCGGGTTGTTCCATGTAAATTTCTTCCTCTAATTCTCCATTTAAGAAAGTTGTTTTCACATTCATTTGATGAATTTGGAGGTCATATACCGGAACTAATAATATTAACATCCGAATGGATGTAAGTCTAGTAACTGACGAGTATATATTGACAAAATCAAGACCTTGTTTTTGTCTAAAGCCTTTGACAAAAAGTCTTGCTTTATATTTGTCAACAGTTCTATCAACCTTCATTTTCCTTCTAAAGATTCACTTTGAACCCAGAGGTTTATTTTCTGGAAGAAGATCAATTAACTTCCAATATCGTTGCTCAAAATTACATCAATCTCACTATTGACACCATCTTTCCAGAAGGATGAGTCTACAAAAGACACAAGAAATGTTACAAAATCATATTCGAAGGAAGTAGATGTCCTTTGACATTTACTACGCCTCTGAATCTCTTTATTAAGTACATTATCTTTTTTTCTTTCTAAGGTCTTTTGGACCCTTTACTAGACTACTCAAGTCTAATTTTACTGTCCACAATCATAGGTCCTATTTTTATCCTTTTAGGAATAGCAACTTGGACTTTTGCTAGACACCCCACACTCTGAAGTATTTCAAGTTGAATTTCCTTCCTTTCCATTCCTCATATGAAATAGATTGTGTCCTGAACAAATAAAATTGCTTTCTTTCTGGAAAGACAACTTTTTGTTGTTCCCTTTTGCAGTAAGGATAGTTCCTCCACACAAGTCTTGTGGTAAATCTTAACTTATAAGTAATGCAACCATCATTTTCTTCAAAGTTCGGTTATTTTTTTTCCATTCTGCAATTCCATTAGATTTAGGTGAATAGGACATTAGTTTGATAGATAAATCCATTTTCCAAACATATTTCCGCAAAAGGAGATTTATATTCTCCATCCCTATCACTTCTTATCTTTTTCCCAAATGATTTTCAACTTCAATATTATATTGTCTAGACTTTATATTGCTTCATCCTTACCATTCAGCAAATAGACATAGTCATTTCTAATGCAATTGTCGATGAAAGTTATGAGATACTTTTTTTCACTACGAGATGGTGTTGACTTCATATCACAAATGTCAGTGTAAATCAACTCTAAGGAATTATAATTCCTTTCAACTGATTTATAAGAATGTTCAGCATACTTAGATTCCACACAAACTTGACATTTTTATTTATTGCACTCAAAGTTGGACAAAACTTCTAAGTTGATAAGTTTTTCATACAAGGTTTTGTCATTGACATGCCCCAAGTGTTCATGTCACAAACAGTTTAACTCAAGCAAGTAGGAAAAAATAAAAATATTGAGTTTGAAAAGCTCTCCGTGAGGTAGCTTTTTCTCACAAATATTTTGTTCCTATTTCTTACAATTTTGTGTGATACAAACATTGTTTAGAGTCATCACCTTGTCAAATGTCCTTTTCGGAAGGACATTTCCATAACTTTCAATTGGATTGTTATAGAACTACCCTTGAACAAAGTTTCATCGAGTCCAATAAAGGCAATATAGTCCAAATGCTTCTTTTACAAAACATGACAAATGACTATTCACCAACATTCATGTCTATACAAATAGTTATATTTAATAGACAAATCTTTTCATGAAAAGTCACAACATTTTTAAGTGACATTTTTTTCATAAAAGAACTCAATCATTTTGAACAAATATACAGATAATTTGGTAGTTTCATACTAGTCATACCATAAACTAGTAAAAGAGAAACTCAATGACCACAATATCAAATATACTCCAAGAATTTTATGGGTCTAACATAATACAAAAGTGTCATCGAATTTCATATCTTGTGCTCCAAATTTAAATTAGACACTAAGTCTAATTTTATCTTTGTCATAAGCATAGAACCCCCCACATTTTAAATATGATCTCAAAAATATTTATTTAGTATTTAAAAATAATTTTTCCACATATTTTTTTTCTCATGCTATCAAAGTCTCATTGGCAACATGAAACCTCTTTTGAAAATATTATTCTACAAAAGAATTATAGTGCTTCAATTCTCTTTGACAACCTTTACACAATGTCAACGGTCATTCCATAGAGGCACAAAATCACAAACTCTAAGTCACTGGTATTTTTTCCTCTATCACAAATAGACATACCACTTAGTATTTAGAATACTAACAATAAAGACAAAAATATTTGTACAAATTGTTTCTATATAACAGTGAAGTTTATAGAAGGTCAAAAGTTCAACATTGACTTGTTATGTGAAGTTTTCATATTCTTCAAACCAATAGCATAGTCTAATTTATCCAGAGTAGAAAACTACAAAAGTTTTTAGTCTACAAAAATCAGACACAATCAAATTTCACAAGGAGTACAGAACTACATTTTTTTTTAGTATCCAAACAGAATTAAACATATTCTTAGATTATCACATAGATATGCTTTTCTTTTCAAATATCCCTCCAACTATAACATTTTGACATACTATTTTATCAAAAAAAATGTGCATCTCTCATTTTGCAAACTAAAGAATTTTAAAGGCAACACTTTTTGCCAAGGAAAATTCATTCAAAAAACCATATGGTTTGCAGATCTTTTTCCAAAGACATACATGATAAATATCAAAACTGTTAACTTTTAGAAACTATTTTCCTCCTTAGATAAATAATAAGAAGGTTACCTAAAAAAATCAAAATTGTTAACTCTTAGAAACTATTTTCCTCCTTAGATAAATAATAAGAAGGTTACCTGGTGTAATGTTTAATCGAAATACCACAAATTCTTCTAGTACATTCTCACTTCGACCTTGCTAAACAAGACACTGAATTCTAGAGAAGTAATACATTAGTCTTCTACTTCCATGATCTGTTTCTCTCAATCAATAGAATACAAGAAATACCAACAGTGTACTAATTTCCTTAAGATTGTTGTTCATCTTGTATTCCTAAGATACTTAGAACAAAACATTGAAGAACTTGGTAAGAAACAAA